GTGTACATAGATAAAAACAAGAGTGTGCGCAGTGCCATTTTTGTGCAATTCTAGGATTTTTTTTTAAGTGAAAATAGGTCGATGTGCGCATGGATACCGAGTATGTGCAATTCTTAAAAACGCGTCAAGCAGTGGGTGATTCTGCACTTTACCCAAAATTCTTTTTTCATTCAAAAGCCGACTTTTCGTCATGGGCAATTCCCAATTGTTAAATCCATAGGATATCCAAAAAGGATTTAAAATTTAAACTAGTTTTTCAATGGCGTCTTAAGAAATATAGTTCTAATCCAAGTTCACAAACACTTGTTTGCTCATGTTATATAAACTTAACGCAATCTGAAATCGGAGCGTACACTAGATTTGGCGCGCTGTTAAATGGGCGCGTTTGCTAGATTTGGCGCTTTTGCGCGTTCATTTTCGCTGCAATTTTTTTACGGCCCTCGAAACTGAATAGTACTAGTAATTTTTCATCCATGCAAAACACGCTATAGGTAAGCCACTTTGATGCAGTTTCGTAACTTTACAACTAATACTTCAATAACGTCTTAACTGCGATTAAAGGAAATATTTATATCCATTTTCTATAACAATAATATTACTTTCAAGTTTCTTCACCTCACGCTGAGAAAAGAATAACTTTTACTTATGTCATGATGACTCCCTGCCCAGTCTATATCATATTCCCTACTACTTATCTCTTTAGTAATTGTTTTTCATATCTGTTTCAGAGTTTGGAATTGTTCAGCGCCATTGGTGGTTACATGGGAATCTATCTTGGAATTTCTTTTGTCGCAATGTACGACTTCGCAGAGTTTGCAGTTGTATGGATGTATCAAATCTGGAAGAACCGTGCTGAAATAAAACGAAAATTAGGAACTCGACAGAGGCGAGTTTTCTCACAACAAAATTCTCAACTTAAGTCTTTCCCAAGACATTTTCGTAGAACTAAAATAAAGCCATTTAGAGAAGTATATTGAGAGGATGAAGTCGTTTGCATTGTATACTCGTGTATGCTATTGCACAATAACAATTAGTATTGCTAAAAATTTATTTCTGGAATCAGAATTGCATATTCTTTCTTATCAATGTCTGTAAACTAAAAATCAATAGTGGTAACCGTTTTTAAACTAGAAAACTAAGGAACTAATTTTTCCTTTAGATTTTATACCACTTGATTATCATATTAACTAAAATAAATATCTGCATTTTGCTTCGAATATGAATCAATAGAAAACTATTTAATTGCAGTAATTTCAGATAATTATACGGAGCTTTCGAAATCTTCTTAATTTATAAAAAAAATTCTATTGGGAGTCTTCTGATACTCGAAGCTATCGAAAAACAAGAATGAGTCATATGGACACATATGCATACCTTCATCTTTCTTTCTGTTTCAAATTCTTCTTTTCAATTAAAATTTTCCCGGTCACCGTCCCCCCTTTTGGTTTTGGTAACAGCCTAGCAGGAGCCAGTTATACCTACCACACCCTCTCCAACGGCCTTGACAATATCTCACATAGAGATAATGCATAATCTAGTGCCTTCTTACAGTTTAACATAAGATAAAATGTATTGCACAGCACTGTACACTTAAATGTAGAGAGAACAGTATAATCTGTACTGTCTTGCAACTGAAATGAATAGTATGCTTCCCGCAAATTTAATCTACCTGCTTTAAGACCACTGACTCAGACAAGAGTTGCAATCGCATATTCCAGTGTTGAGTATTGCTAGCTGCATGTTACTGTTCTGAATATGAATTTTGTATTATATTTGTCTTTGTACTCTAAGCTATGGTAACAGTAAAATGTGCTACACACTAACGTGTCATCAGTGTCTACCGATGTGTTTTCCTGTATGCATGTAGGCTTTGCACACGAATATCTTTCATACAATGCATTTAATCAATTAGCACTTGATCCATATTTGTGTTGTGTATAACTTTTAATATAGCATGTGATCTTTCCTTAATTTCATATTTAATTGCATTAAAATAGCACATAAATGCATATTAACGTGAGATGAAAATATACTTTCTTATGAACTATTATGAATGGAACTCTTTATTATGTATGCAACTATTTTATTTTTCCGAATTTGCAACATGTGATAATAATGGGTCAACACGCAATAATCCGCACATATATAGATAATATGCATATATCTATGTCTGTGTTTGTGAACTTGGATTAGAATTATATCAGTCTTATTCATATTATGTACATAATTTTTCTCCTTACTTTTATATTCAATTGCATTTACATCTAGTTGCATACTATTGTCTACAACACACTCTAGCTTCATTTCTTTATTAACTTTAATACGTGTATTTTTAATCTATAAGTACATCTGGAACTTAATATTATGCATTTATATTATATTGCAAGTAATTTGTATCCACCTTATGTAATGCAATACTCTTCATTTGCAAAACAACACAGTAATGGTATCTCTACTCTCTTCAAGAGCCTTGTTTGCTCATGTTATTATTTTCTATAGAAACATAATAATTCTGTCTGTTCTGTCATCCCAGTCCTTGGCTGGGGTTTAACCGCAGGAATATTCACTCCGACGAGTCTGTTATAATTCCGTATAGTGAATACTCTGGCTGAGAGCCTGTTTTAGTGGTGAGTAGTAGTAGTAGAGAAAATATTTTAGGAGACTTTTCATTACGTTGGAAGTCTTTAAACAGATCATAACATTAAACTGCACATTAATTAAAAAATTATTTTGTTAACAACATCTCTATTTCATACCTGAAAATATACTTTTGGACTTAAATCTTAGTACATTTATCTGATATTATAGAAAAATTCTCATCCCACAACTATTCATAAATGCAAATCGTAATACATTTATCTCATATTATCCAAAAATTCTCATCCGACAACTATTCATAAATGCAAATCGTAATACATTTATCTGATATTATCCAAAAATTATCATCCGACAACTATTCATAAATGCAAATAGTAATACATTTATATGATATTATCCAAAAATTCTCATCCGACAACTATTCATAAATGCAAATTGTAATACATTTATCTGATATTATCCAAAAATTCTCATCCGACAACTATTCATAAATGCAAATCGCTTTATATAAAGCTATAAAATAAAAAAGGTGTGGCTGTTAAAGCTTTTACCATGCAAGTAAAATATTCAAACTGCAACTAATTTCTATTGAAACCGCTTCATATTGCAACTAATTTGCCAGATTACCTCTTGATGTAAAAACTTTCAACAATATGCAAAGGTACTATTTTATTAACAATTCGATTAACAAGGTCTTGGCATATTTTTTTCGGCATATCGTTTCAGAAATCATCCTAATTGAAATCATTTCTGAGAGCTGATTATTTGGAAAACTAAATAATAACAACTTTTCCGCACAAATGATTGAACCACTAAAGCCACAAAATATTAATAATTCACTCTGTGTTCGTTTTCCAGCTGTTGACTTGCCAGTTACAAAGAGGTTTTGTTACCTTCCTGATGTATATGTTACCGGAAATGTATGAAACACCAGCATTCTATAAAATACCTAGGCATTTTATAGTATGGCCTGGCGTTGTTAGGCAAAATATGAAATATCAGAATTATTATATGCTTTATCTAGGCATTGTATGTAATACCGATGAATTCTACAGAATGATAAATACTTTCTAGACAAAGTATGAAAAAGAAAATTATGATAATTAATTACTATTATTAAAAAGGCATTCATTCTTCGAAAATTCAAATGTTGTTTTGAAAAAATAATGAATGATTGCCATTAAAAAACTTTTATTCAAAGTACACATAAAACAAATTAGTGAGATGATCTTGATACACCATAAAAAATTTATATTTTATATGTGGCTGAAACTGGAAATCAAAAGATCTACCTGTCTAAGGGAATTAAATTAAATTTAGAAAAATTATAGGTTTCACAACAATGCCCTTTTTAATACATTTTTGCTTTTTCTGGCACAGCTCACCAAGGTTGCAGTTCAGTATCATCATGTGTAACGTTTCTGTATTTGATTGAAAATTATTTCAACATTCTATCACGTCTTCTGTGCCCAACAGCATGTGTTTCATGAAGTAGTGAAATAACTCATTGTTCATAACGTAACGCTTATTGTATTTATACCAACTCTAACAGGATAAATGAATTTACTTTTGTTTTCCATAAAATCACATCTTAGTGTTTCAGCAACCCATAATCTGTAATTCCTTCTTAGTAGTTATTTTGGCTTTTTTTCTTACATCATTTGTTAACTTCTGGTAAGTAGTTTCGATATTCGAAACGAATCGGAGTTTGTTCTTCGCAAGTTTACTTCTCAAGTTTGTCATTTGGCATTCTATAAGAATGACTCGGCAGTGTGTGAAATGTTTAATCCTTTCATTCATCACCGGCAGTTTTTGGCGTTCTATGAAATGCCTAGGTATTCTACAGAATGCTGGATTCCATACTTTGCCGGTAATAGGCAAATAATTAAATGATGTGAAAAATTTATTTTAGAAAGTTCTCGCAAATGTATCCCTTCCGTTAGACATATATAAACCTCCCATGTTTTATCACAGTTAACCTAATGACGCATTTGGAAGCGAAAGAAAGCAGACGAGCTTATTTCTTGACAAAGGCACAGTTGCAAGATATTATTATTAATAAATATGAGAGTGTTACAGGTTAAGTTAAGCCATAAAATTCAGTTCAACAGCAATAGCACAAATCAATTTAAAAATATCGTATTTTTAGAATTTACGATTTAAACTCTCGCACTCTGGAGATAAAAAAAAATTTTTTTTTCGTACAGTGTTGCCATTGCTCGCTTTGAAATCGTTGAGTTTGTTAATCAAAAATTCGTTAAATGTTTACAAAATATCAAATAGATAATAAAACTAATTCCAAATTTGGGCTTCGAGATGCCCATATACGTTATTCAAAATTTGAAGTCTCTGGGTATCGTTGTTTTTTCACAGCGCGAGAAACATAAATGCATTCATACAGATTCTTCATTACTTAAATTCTTTAAATATAATGCAATATTTGGTGGCAACAATTTGAAAACTGAACCAAAGCAAAATGCCAAAACGAAATTAATAACCCTTCTGGGTAAATTGCCCCTTTGATCTAATAGAATGCCTCAGTTGTTTTACAGCAAATGCACATTTGCCGTAAGGCAAAAAAAGACAATCAAATTATCTAGATAATTTGAATATCTAGATGTGCTGTAATCTATGTCAGTTAGAATAATAGGAATTTCACTCCAGTTTCCTTGTATGATATAACTAATAAATAATTTTTCAATGCTAATAGAATGGATCAAAATTAAATTTTGATCCATTCTATTAGCATTGAAAAATTATTTAATTAAATTAAATTAAATTTTGATTTAACATGTTCTACACTAAGTATTCTTAATTTTTTTAAATCACGTATTGTAATGTTTATTAATAAAAATTAAAGATTTCCATTTTCCTCCAGACTATTGTCTCAAACCAACCAAATTTTCGAACGTCTTATATAGAATGGCATAATTAATTACAAAATTAATTTCAGTATTCTGTATTTTCTTGGTGGTTTCAGAGTTTGCACACTTTCTGAAGATGGCGATGTCTCTGGATTTAAGTTTTGCTGTTGCTGTCCCATAGTAGGCGAGCTTCTGTCATTTGAAAGTGCACTTGACTGGTCGATTTGAATTGGCGTTGCAGAGTGCACGAGCGTAGGTTGTAGTTCATCCTCGGATATGTTTTCCATTTTAGGTTTAAATGTTTGTTGGACATTGCATGGTTGATATCCTGTAATTAAACAGACATACTTTCAAAATTTGCACTTCTAAAACATTTCGAAAGAAATTAAGCAGATTGCAGATTCACGTAATTCAACTAATTTTTTTTTATTTGCATTAGGTATGTACTACATTTTACTGGTGTAATTCCAGATCATGTTACCTCTTGAGTTAAAACACCAAAATAATGATAAATTGTTAGATGGGGCTAGTTTTTTTTTTTTTTTTTTTTTTTTTTTTTCGATTACATCTTTATGGTTGTAGAGACATTATGTATTTTTTTGGGGGGGAAGCAGGAGAAGTGAAAAATGAGCAACGTCTTCGCCGGGAGTCGAACCACGGACCTCTGGAATACGCGCCCAACATGCAGACCACTACACCACGAAAGCATACCAAGAATGCGGGAGGAATATCTTATGTGGTTATCAAATAGATGAGATCCTATTTACGTTGAATTCAAAATTTCTCATGCTACATTTTCTAATAATGTTAATTTGCATAAGCAGGCCATACCCTATAAAATAAATTCGAAATTTTTTCTAGTTTATATGTCTTGACTTGTTCAGCAAGTATATATCTTAGTGGGTAAAATCATCTATTTCTTTTGCCACTAGGTGAAAGAAACGCAGATGGATTTTTGAATATTCTTTCCAGTTTTGTTTCTTAACAGAAAGAAGGATAGTATGGATCTTTCATAGTGAAAAATCGTTCACTTCATAACATTTAGTTACACTGTTATTTGAAATTTTTTTCAGTCACTTGAAAATTATGTTATTATCTATGAATAACATAAGAATGAATTAATTGCTTCAGAATGAATAATTTCCCAACTATTCCCTTTACAAAAAAATGAACTAGTCGCGATACAGCTCACGGTTTCGTGCGGTGTGCTGTGAAAAACTTTCAGCAGACAAAGATGCAGATAGTCAATCCCAAATTACTTAATCCTGATCATTTTAGGCCTGAATAAGGGTAGAATGTTGACAACACTGCCTTGTTTTGGAATTGTACGCCAAAACAACAAAAAACAAAACAAAAAAAAAAAAACAAAAAAAAAAAAGAAAAGAAAACTTTGATAACTGAAGGTACAGAATCATCGTGTTTCAATCTTTGAAAGATCGTGTCTTGGTATATGCTGTTCTAATGCTGCATGTGTTAATGTAATATAGATATAAGTTGCTTGTAATCAGAAAAAGTTTACATCAGAAGGCCATGAAGGCGATGAAGCAACGGCCAGCACAGTTTCTTGGCCGTTACCGTGCGAATAAGAAAGGGTGGGTTGCCAATGGTATTACATTGGATTGGTTTAGAAATGTATTGCTCTTGATGCTATGGTACACCGTAACTGCATTGGGCTAGACCTTTAATTTAAATACTTCTTATTCTAGATAATTGCTCAGCACAACCAAAATCTGATGTAGTGAAAGATAATGTTTTTGTTGTCTGTCTGCCACCAAAATGCACATTCAATCACCCGAGAGTGGTATTAAACGTTCTATTAAATGTAAGTATAGGCCCCTGTTAATGAGGTATCTAGTGAGTTCAGTTAATTTAAGCATTCCAGCATAATAACTTCATAAAAGAATTCAGCGTTAAGGATTCCGGTGTACTATGTTGCCGATGTATGGAAGTCTGTGAAAACGTCAACACTGAAAAATGGATCGCATAAATTGTGGTAAAGTTTAATGTTTACTTCTCATTCTAACGAAGACACTGAAAATAACTTTACTGAAGTTAGAGTTTCCAAAAAAAGTAGCTTACACAAAACGTCCAGCTTATGTTAAAGCCGTAATTAATCCTGATACCGTCAAAGGGCAAATGAAGATGTTTTAACTGAACGAACATTATGTTGATGATAAGGTGTCCACAGGTTAATCATTATACTTCTGAAATTGAAAATGTGGTTAAAAAGTCCAAAGAGAAATGCCTGTACAGGTAGTGATGAAGACGAAAGCATCGAAGAAAATGAGGAAAATATGTCAGAAACAATCAGATAATTGATAGGTTAATTACATTGACAACTGAACTGCTGGCTGGGCTAAAGCACCGAAATTTTGTAAGGAATATGGAATCGTCAGTATTTACTTGCTAAAAGTTAAATTTATTAGAGAAAGATCGGGAGGCTCTGCTAGCGCAAGTCAAGAAAGATATCACTAAAATCACTTGCGTCAGTGGCAGTTGTTTTTGACGCGATCGGTATCAAGCTACGGCTTCAAGATCCACGAGTTTTGTCCTCGGCCAAGAGACATGAGTCCAAAAGGAGATTTTCATAGGCGTCCTCTATTGGCAAAGCATCGCCGTTAATACCTAATTGAAAGGCCATGGAGCAAGTGTTTCACAATACCAAAATGGCGCCACGAAATCGTCAAGGTCCTTAAAACAGCTTGCGGCGACAACAGACTAGCAAATCAACGGCTGCAAACCCAAGTATATGAACAAACACTGCACAATATATCCAAGAAAATAGCTAGGAAAATTCAGGAGCGGTGTCTAGACTTGGCAGTCCTCTGCCATCAACTTTGCAAGTCAGCTAGGTGTGTTACCATAGCTAGGTAGCACCATAATCAAGATTTCTTTCCTAATCTGAAACGGTTCTTGTTGCTGAGGATGGTCATGAAGATGATAATGTCAATTACGAAGATGATAATCTTGACAGTCCATTTGCTAACATTTTTTCAAGGGTACAGTTATAAGGTATTTTCTTCCTCCGTGCTTATGTGGTATAAGTTCATCCGGGTAGCAATCGGGAGGTCTGGAAATCGAATCCCGGCTAGGGCATAGCTAATGTTTCATATTTACTGCTTCGGAAAACTATTGACTGCACACAGTAAAAACCAAAATTCTAAGAATCTATTTTTAATTAAAATTCAGGGGAACTGTTTAGCCAAATTAAAATTCTTCTACAATTATTTTATTCGGTTGAAATGAAATTCTGTAGAATTCTTTCATTTAGCTAGTGAACACTGATATTTCATTTACTTTGCATTTGTTGTTGAATATGCAAGTCTATGCAGGTAGTCATTTTCTACTGCATATATAACTATAAAAAATTCGGCACTTCTCAAGTCCGATTGCTGTCGGATTTCTGAACATCCATCTAGATAATCTATAGGTGCAATAGGCTATAGAACCGAAACTGTAAGTGTAGTTTTAAAGTTATTGCTAACTTTCTACGTTGATATCCTTTTAATCTTTCCAACAGACCTTGATCAAGAATAAAGCAATATATCAAACAAAAAGTATATAACTGTGTTTTAAAAGTCTGTACATAATCGCTAGAGCAGAGATTCTATACCAGGGCGAGAATTACCTCCTGTGGGAATTTCACAGTTTCGGGGGTAAATGCGATCAACATTTTATTTAGCCGTTAAGTATTTAGATTTATTTTACGAATATAAAAAATGACTTTTATTCAAATTCTGGTATTTATTAACATTTTCTACATTTTTTGTGATTTATTTTATAAAACACATTAAAAAATCATCTACATTTAAATGTATACATTTATTTTTCGAGTTTTGGGAAAGGAAAGGGGATGATATTCTAGCAATAGTGAAAAGAGTGCGTGAGACCAAAAAGGTTGAGAATAGGAGACCAAAAAGACTCTAGAGATATAATACTGTATATTAGAGGTAATACTGTATACCATGATGTCAAACTCGCGGCCCACAACAAATATTTTTGCGGCCCGGCAATATATCGGCAAATAATAATATATAATAATAAAATAACATATCGACGAAAAAAAAATGAAATGTTTACTTCTAAGTAATTAACGATAATTTATGCAGTGTTGTTAGATTACTCACAGCGAGCTGACACACACACTACTTAAATTACAAATGCGTGTGAGTAGCTTGCGTTCAGCTACCTTCGGCTTTTGGGGGACACGTGCACTCTTTCTATTTCTATTATCTTTCCTATTTCTCTCGAAATAGGAAAGATAATAGCAGAGAAGAGATGTCAAGTATCAGGACGTAAACATTAAATTTTTCTTGTTCTTTTCTATATAATATATATATATGTTTATTATTGTATTATTCGAAATAAATCTACGTTTCTATGAATATTGATCTTTTTTTCGGCCCGCCTAAAGTTAAACTTTGTTTTGTTTGGCCCAAGTGTACTTATGAGTTTGACATCCCTGCTGTATACTTTATATAATACTGTACATTAGATATAATAATAAGTATATATACAGTATTGTATATAATACTACAGCATTAAAAATAATACTGTACATTATATATACAGTATTGTATATAATACTACAATATTAGAAATAATACTGCATATTAGATATAGCCAGAGCAAAGTGCAGGAAACAACCGCTGAAAGGGGATAGATATTAATGCCTCAGACTACCGTACCGAAGGGCCTAGGTTCGAATCCCGGAGAAGGCATCGATGCTTGTAACTGTATATTGTCTTTGCTGCATGGTGGCACACAAAATGTATGGGGATTCAAAAATCCTCCCGAGAGGTTGGTGGTAGAGGAAGACGGGTCCTCTCCATCAAAACTGGGTATACGTTAGCAGAATCGTAATTTCACCCTATATGGTGCCCAAGGCTTTTGCCAACGACAGATGTAATCATGTATTACTCGCCGCGATAAAATTTCCTGGTCTTGTTCTGCTGAGGCCAAACAAGTGAGATTAGTCACAACAACAACAGAGACAAAAAATATTAGTACTCACAAGCATAGTTATTAATGTATAAAATAACATTATAAAGATAACTATATAGAATGTCCATGTTAAATTACATTATCCAGGATTCAAATGTTAAGACGTTTTTCCTAATGAAAATGAAGAAAGGTTTATCGTAATTGCGGGAACTGAAATTGAATTTTTCTTTCTGCAGTTATGTTAAATGCAGTTTTTAAAAGTCAGTTGCATGATTAAGGATTAGAATAATAATATAAGTTGCGTTTATATCTCTAAAATTCTAGCTGCATGATTAAGGGTTAGAATAATAATATACGTTTTCTTATATAAAGGAAAAAACTGAAAAGAGACTTCCGATTTTGAAACCCCTGGTGGGCTGCCGATGGGGGTGTAGCAGAGAAACTTTGATAAATGTTCATTTAAGCAATTATGTTATTACAGTAATGAAGTTTCGGAGACTGCTTCAATCAGTACGTCGAAGGTTTTGTACGCTGATAATACGTCGACGTCTGTCGACGCCTAATAACAAGTGCAGTTGAATCCACCCCCATAGCGGCTATGGAAGCGTTAACCAATATTTTACCTTTCATTCCTGACATTAGTAAAAATGCTGCAATTGTGTTTCAAAAACTTTTCGGGCTCCCAAATAATAAATATTGGAGGAATTACAATGTTAATAATGATAGAAAATTAAAGACACAAGTGGGTTTCAATCAAATTGGTTATCAATTATCAGAAGGTTTACACCTTCTTCGAGAAATCAATGTAATGACTGTGGCTTTGTGTCCTCTTGAATACGGTGACTTCCGTGTTTGTCTTGAAATTCACGAGAAAATTGATAAGAATGAGATGTCTACTTCCCAGATCAGAGCCGTCGCTTATGAAACTACTAAAAAAAGCTATCCCAGCATCCTCTGGACCCATGTTCACACCGATGGATCCATGATTGAGCGAGGTACTGGAGCTGGTGCAGGAATTTATTGTAACCATTTTGCATTATATAAGGCAGTGGGAAGAGATACTTCACTTTTGATGGTGAAGCTATATTTATTGCACTGAATCAATTAAGCGCTCGAAAGAGTAATTTTCCGGGCCATTATTTTGTCCTGTAGAGACATTAGGATTTTTTGGAAGCCGGAGAGATGAAAAATTAGCAAATGCCTTCGCCGGGAATCGAACCACGGACTTCTGGAATACCGGCCCAGCGTGCAGAACCACTACACCACGAAGGCACGCTAGGAAGGCGGGAGAAATACCTTATGGTCCAATAGCAAAGCCGCTTTGCAGGCTATCTCCAACAATAAAATTTGCATTTCCAAACGAATTTATGAATGTAGGAAGATTCTCAACCCTCTGGCTGACTCTTGCAGTGGATTCCTGCTTGTTGTGGCATCGAGAGAAATTTCAGAGAGCCCATTTCCTAGCAAAGAAAGGAACGACTCATTCTACAAACCACTAATAACCATATGACTTTTAATTCTCTTAATTAAATTAGAATTTAAAAGGAGGTTTGCCTCCTACGTATCAAATGAAGCTAAGGGAAAGGCCTGAGAGTGTTTCACTATTTCAAAGCCAGCTGTTCCAAATCTTTTCTCGTCCTGTAGCCGTCTTTTGACTGAGCACGATTTTTTGAATGCCTATATTTTTAAATTCGACTTAAAGACTCTTCAGTCTGTACTCTTCGTAACTCTGGACAGTCCATGGATAAGAAGCATAGTGATATTCGTCAATATGCACTGCGTTATTATCTTTTAATTCTATTCTTCTGCGAAGCAAGCTCAAGACTGGCTTACTGGCCAAATGTCTGGCATTTGCTTGAATAAAAAATATATGTTGTGTTATAAGGTATTTCTACCACCTTCTTGGCGAGCCTTCGTGGTGTAGTGGTTTGCACACTGGGCCGGTATTCCAGAGGTCTGCGGTTCGAGTACCGACCAAGGAGTTGTTAATTTTTCATCTCTCCTGCTTCCAAAATACCTAATGTCTCTACAGTGTTAGCACATGATAATTTATAAGGAATTATTGCAAGGAAAGTAGATAGCTAATTAGATTTGACCTTACGTATTACGTCATCCGTTAACAAAGCCTGTAAAATCAGAAATAATAATCACAAAGCATTTTAAACATAATACTTACTACTTTGCAATTGAAAATTTTGAAACGCTGCATTAGGTTCTTCATCCGAAGTAGTTGCTGAACTATCTCGAATGTAGAAGTACAGTCTGATACTGCTGTAGATTATAAATACCTAGAAAAATGAATTATACATTACAGCAATTAAAATCACAAATGCAAAATGTTTATTAAGCAATACAAAAATAAAGTAATACAGAAATTCATAATATTGAAGATTTGGCAGGTTAAAACCATCAAGTGTTCTCATTTTATATCAATATATCTGACTTTAAAGCCCATTCTGATTCCCTTCCCTCATCCAGTACTGGCCATCCTTCTTAAGTGCATATCCATTGTCTTATGCTGCATTCAAGCCATACTCGGCCACTGGTATGCTTGTTGTGTGCCTACCAGTTGCCGAGTAGAAAAGTCGCTGAACGCTTCTAGTTAGGTTCCAGGTTCAAATCCCGCGAACGGGTTGGCTGAATTGGTGTTTTCGTAGTTTTTTCCATGTCTAAGGTATATGCGAGCCAGTTTCCCTCAGAAAGTCCTCCTCGAAGGCATCCCTCTCCTTAAGCAGGTAGCCCACAAGTGCTTTACCGTAATCGAATATGCCAAACCAAACCAACAACTGTTAAAATTTATTATTATTATTTTTAATTCAATGAAAAGGGACATATGCATTTCGACAGACATTGCATATTGAATTTTCTGAATTGAAACTGCCATTAAACGAATAAGGAAATTTCTTGATCTTCACTGCGTGCCTTCGTTTTGTAAGTAGTATCACATTCGGCTGACAACTGGAAGATCCGGATTTCGGATCTCGAAAACGGCATGGCTGATTTTCTCACGTTTCACGATCCAAATTTTTTTTTAAACTATTTATTTATTTATCACCTACTTTTTATTTATCTAAAAACTGTAATGGCGCCCATTAAAAATGCGATGGACATTAACTCATCACCTTGCGAACTTGCCCAGTTAAGTCTCGTTCTCCTTTTTCGCTGTCGCTGTTCGTTTAAGTGGAAGGCGGCGGGAAGAAACTTTCGCCTTTTCCATTGGGTTTCTTCGTAGTGTAAGTGGTCGGTAACATATCCGACTGGAATACGTAAGTACTCATTGTTTCATACAGAATAGCTATCGAGATCGCCCACCTTAAATACGTTATGGAACATGTTTGCAAGACGCATAAGTTTCCATGATTACTCCCTGAACTTTCATAAACTATGTATACGTATGTTACACGAGTAAGCGCAGCTAACCAAGCACCATAAATAATCTTAGTCTTGACATGAACTGATGCTTTGGTGTATCTGTTTCGTGAAAAGATTACCACATTGTATATTGACACAACACTACCAAAGAACTTTCCTGCCATATTTTTGAAGACTTATGGTTTTCACCACTATTATTTATTTACCAGACATTCTCTTTGCAATTCCGTGGGCTAGCGTCTTTTGTTTTTATCCCATGAACTTTGAAAGTTTCAATCAATTTGAAAAAATACCTTTTTCTGTCTGTTTTTATTATTATTATTATTATTATTATTATTATTATTTATCATTACATAATCTTTGATCATGAGTAAATTTATTTTATATTTTATATTTTTGAAATTACCTGAAATCTAGAAAAAGTTTCCACTATATTTATCGGTTGAAAACAAAGATTTTCTATATGTTGACCCACGCCATTCCAACCTAATTTCTTTAAAATCTTTCTTTAAATTTAAATATTATGAAATTGAAAATTGGACTATTATTTTTATATAAATTAAAAGAATATTTTTCAAGGTTTTTATTTCTGAGTGAGGGGGGAGAAATTAAAAAATTTTTCGCTTTATTATCATTCCAAACGATATGTGTTACACCATTTTCAACAGGCATCATTATTAAACATTCTTATTACAATAACAACAAGGAAACAAACTCAGTTTCAAAAGCTATATTCTGCGTTCGAATATTTCATTTTTTTAATTTTTTTTTTTTTTTCTATGATAAGCAGTGTTGTGAGCCCACAAGGTCAAATAGTCTCAAAATGGGATTTTATGTCGAATCGCTATGAATGCATCGGTTCCCTTTTCATTTCAGTCGGTTGCCATTTGTCAAAAGTTAAGATATTTATATTCCAGATGGAATCTGTCTGTTGTGCACTGACAAACTAAGCTTTTTGAAAGCATACAGTTCTTTGAAACATTCCTTTCTTACTTTTGAATCGGATTGATTTAAATAGTAAAAATGCATTTAATTCATGATCTATCTAATTAAAAATATTACTTTTTTTCATATAATGACGTTATATATTCTGTGTTATTTCATATTTTGTAAAACTTTAACGAATTTTTGATTAACAGACTCAACAGCTTGAAAGCGAGCACTGACAGCACTGGATAAAATATTTTTTACCGCTCGAGGAATAAAACATTTTTTACCTCGAGCGCACCAGACTGTGTATCAGAAATTCTAAAAATATCCTATTTTAAAATATTTTGTGATTTTGATTTTGCAATTGAATTGGATGCGATGAACGTGATATTTAATAAAAACAAGTTAACACACAAAACGGTAATAACAAAAAGACAAAAAAAAAAAAAAAAAATTATAACCCATCTTTACTAAGAAAACTCAGGAATTCTAAACGTACACTGGTTTGCTGTTTACAAAATTTTTGTGATTTTTTTATTGAATTGCATACAGCGTAAGTTTGAGAAAACGATGCTTAATAATAAAACTAGGGACCCATCAGCGGCCTAGCGGTAAAGTCCCTGCACACTGGTAGTTCGGTCCGAGGTTCGAATCCCACGAACGGGCTGGCTACATGGAAGTTTTCGTTGTTTTTCCTATGCCCCACGTGCTATTACGAGCCAGTTCTCCTTAGAAAGTCCTCCACGAAGGCATCCCTCCCTTCCGTGTAGTGCCTTGGGGCGAAACACGTAAATATAATAATAATAATAAAGCTAAAAACACAAGAAAAGGGTAGCAGGAGTGAGTGGTAGCAGCAGACTAGTGGACAGCGAGCTCAGCATGTCAGACAGCGAGTCATTAGGATTTTTTTGGAAGCTAGAGAGATGAAAAATTAGCAACCGCCTTCGCCGGGAATGGAACCACGGACCTCTGGAATACCGGCCCAGCGTGCTACCGTTACAACACGAAGGCACGCTAGGGAAGTGGGAGAAATACCTTATAAGCAAAAGCGCAAAAAACCTTAACAAAACCTTTCAGTCGACCGTTAAACCTTTGCGACACAGTGTATCCAGTCTGGACACACCTAAAAATTTCCTTCTGTACACACAGAAAAATTGAATGAAAAAGGATTTATAGGTTACTCTGAACCTTCTTTGTTTATAGTAAATGGCAGATCAACACATACCAGTTCGCATATTTTAGCCATGTTTAGTTTTTTAAGACCCTCATTTTTCACAGAAATCGTCCAGATTTTTTTTAGGGTATAAAAGGAATTGTTTGAAAAGAAATTTATATGTTATTTTTTTGGCTGTATGCTAATCTCCTTATTCTATATTAGTTTTAAATTTTTACCTTGAAATCTGCCTAAAATCAAACGGCGAACCCTAGGTGTGCCCAGACCGGGCTCACCGATAATCTAGTACAACTGAGGGTCTGTATTCTTTGTTTCTCCGCATCTCATCGGTCAGTTCATTGATAACAATGCTTGTTTCAGCACTCTTTTCGTAGCTCTATTCAATCCGTGTGCCCACTTTGGGCGCACCCACAGAATTAAAACGATAAGTGCTATCTTCACAAAATTTTACTTGTGTACTCCTGTAGGCCTAATTAGACTGCCTACCTTTTTTTTTTTTTTTTTTTATATCAAAACTCCAACTTTAAAAGGTAGTGCGCCAGAAAGGGTTAAGGATATTTTATACCAACTGTGTTTCAGATGTGTGATGTTTTCTCTCATGATGTTTTCTACTACGATGTTTTCTCCTTGCGTTATTTTCTCTACGATGGTTTCCGTCGCGAAAATCTTAAACCTTTCAGGTTTTGTTTTGTTGTTAACATTATTCTTTCTCATTGCTTATACCCGAAACAATAAAACTCAGTGTCCGTCGATGTTATTTCCCATCATCAATTAATAAGTATACTCAAGTTACACAGTCATTTGCATGGCCATGTTTCTATTTGTTTTACAATTTTCCAATAAATACTTTCGTTAGAAATTTTACTAGCACGTCGTATGTACTGCCTTTGGGTGAAATTTGAAACATTGTAAGAATGAATTTCAAAGAAAATTTGGGAATGGCTTTAAATATTTCATATGCTTAATTTAACTCTGAGTTAAATTAAGCTTGCCCTATTGTGCTACGTTAAAGATGGATTTCTATGACATAAGTAAAGCGGAACTTAGATCTATCTTTCTTTTAAGTGAGGTGAAGGAAAAAAGGAGAGAAATGAATTTAGCTGAGAAACTAATACACATTATAAATAAAAAACATTCGGTTACTATCAACAAAACTAAACCTGATGTTAAAAAAAAATTAATGAGCAAATTTCTAATCATCCTTTGGTTTTCGGTCGAATTTTGCATCATTTGAAAATATGACATTTTTAGAACGTTTTCCATGGTTCCTGTCACTTCCACACAGAGCAATTGTCTACTGAAAATCATTATATAAACCATTATATTTGATATTACTTATGTAGAGCTTTATTTGGAACCCAAATTCTGAATGATAATGCGGAGAAAAGAACGACAAATGTTTTCCAAAAAAAGAAATGCAGGGATGAACAATGTTATGCTGTTACAGAAAACAGGAATTAATAAAATTTATTTTTTAATTGCTTTTAATGGTAAAACATGGAAATTACCTTAATATAATTTTCAAACTTTAGGCTTTGCATATAGTACAAATATGATTTAATGAAAAAAAAAATAGTCTTCTGTGTACATTAATACGATACTTAATTTACTATATTTAATGAGACTATAATTTATAATAGCAAGGTCACTAATGTTTTGCTGATGATTCATGAGTTATAGTCATTAAGTCGTGATTTTTGTAGTTCACTGCGTAGTAAAATTAAATATCACTGGTGTATGGTTGGTGTATTTAATTATGGCAAAGCACACGAGGGCTATCTGCCTAAGTTGAGGGATGCCTTTCGTGGAGGACTTTCTGAGGGAAACTGGCTCGTATACACGTTACACATCGGGAAAACCACGAAAACGCCCATGCAGCCAGCCCGTTCGCGGGATTCGAACCTCGGACCGAACGACCAGTGTTCAGCGTCTTTACCGCTCGGCCGCTGGTGGGCTAAATATCACTGTATAACGCACTGAATGTTTCACAATGAATAAATTTCTTGAACGAAAAACAGTTTTTAACAAATATTACCAGTTTATGATATTCCACACTCAGTCTTATAATTAGATTAATAATTTTAAAATGAGAACATTTTGACATTTACACAATTGTTTTTAAACTTCCTAGATTAGTTGGACCTCAGTATTTTTAAATAGGGCGGTGCTAGACATTTTTTTGCCCTTTGCAATCTCTGCTGATCCTAAATTTTGTTGCTCAGCACCTCCCTAATTCCTAAAAATTTTGCCCACCCCTTAAGTTCCGATGCTTAGCGCCTCGCCTAAATTTTGTTGCTTATTACTTCTTCAGTCTAAAATGCCGCCCAGTACAACTGTATCTGTTGCACCGGCTACCCTGCTTCTGAAGAGAATTCGCATTCTTCAAAAACAAACAATGCTTAGCACATTTGAGTGTGATCTAAAACTTGCTGAAGCAGAATGCACTCGGTCGGTGCAAAACGAATTAAAATACTGATTAGAATATTTACGTATCGTCCATGTAAATTCATAGTCCTTGATATCAGCAATTCTAAATGGGATCTAAAATAAGAATTAAAATATTTACTTACAATGCAGAAGACGCGAAAAATCGACAAACACATCTCTCTATTCATCATCGAAAAACAAAGAGACTCGAAGAAGCCCTACATTTCTCAGGGAATCTGTAACATGATTAGGATTAAAGAAGCTACTTCTGTTGCTCTTATGCTACAAAACGAGCTTCGATCTGACCTTCATTGTAAAGTTTGCTTCTGAAAGTAAATTCGTAAGCCTAATTCTCATTATTTATTTCTTTCATAATTAAAAAAAAAATAGTTATAACTATGTTAGTAATTTTAGTTACTATTTATACCATCTTGAATGAAATTCTATGAAGCACTTTTCCCTCCATATAGCTGTCGCTAAAAATGGGATGCCCTAAAGATTCAGATTTTTCAGTTATTTAACATTCTTAATTAATTATTTTTTTCCAATTAGTAATTCAAATAAATATATTCTTATATTTAACAAAATGAAAGCAAATTATTAAAAAAATATTTGCTGTATGGATTTTAACACTTAATTAGCCCAAAGTGGCATTAGACACAAAGAGTTAGTCTCAAAGCGGCATTTTGTGCTGATTCACTTTTCAAACTGTTGCCACCAAATATTATCGCCCTGTATTATATTTAAAGAAACTAAATAATGAATAATCTGAATGAATGCATAAATTTTTCTCGCATTATGAAAAAACAACGGTAACTAGAGCCATCAAATTCTGAATAACGTAATTCTCCAACCGAGCATGGGTACCTGGAAACCCGAATTTTGAATTTCGAATTTGTTTTATGATCAATTTCAAATTTTGTAAACCTTTAACGAAGTTTTGATTAACGAACTCAACGATTTCAAAGCGAGAAATGGCAACACTGTGCACAAAAAAAACTTTTTTATCTCCAGCTCGAGACTGTATATCTGAAATTCTAAAGATATGCTATTTTGCTGTTTTTAAATATTTTGCGATTTTGCTGTTGAATTAAATTTTATGTGGTTTAAGTGTGAAGAACATAATATTTAATAAATAAAGGTAATACACAAAACGTTACAAAAACGCCCCTAAATTTCTGTAATTGCTTTGCACCAGGGATTTTAATAGCGGTTTGCTGGTAAATGGCGAAAAAGGGCATAGGATTTTTGCAGCTAATTTGACACATTTCCATCAATAATTCCCTAAGTAACATATATAAGCAGGACACATAAATGCTTTTTTTTTTTTTTTTTCATCACTGGGACGCGGTATAGGCTGCATTTTATAAAAGAAACTTAATTTAGAACAAATTCGCGTACTTTTTTACAAAATAGAAATCTAGAAATGTTTTTAACAGTTGGCAAATTTCAAGTCATAGAAATTCAAGTTGCATTACATGCAAGTAGAAGTGTTTGAGTTCAGACTTGAGATTCAATCAGCATCGAAACTGATTGACTATTACGAAATATTGTATGGTTCGAATAATCGCTGGTGATAAGAAGTTGCTGAAATATATTAAATATATTAAGATATATTTTTGCCGAACAGAGTTTTTGTTTGGCAAATTGGTATTTCACAAGTAAGAAAATAAGATACATGATAATTTAACAGCATGAAATTATCTTGTCTTTCCGCTTTTGCAGGATTTCACGAAAGTTTCTATATTACTCACCTTTGACCTTTCTATTTCCTGGTTCTCAAGGCACCATCTAAAAAGGAAGCTGCTAATTACATCTTTCCTGTTGAGGTTTATATAATGTATAAATTGATAATTATATCTTTCCTGCTGTTCCGTTTGGGCTCTCAAAGAATCATAACCTGTCGAGTATTCAAAAATTTGTCTTTGTACCTCAGACTTTGAAAGACAAATTCTTACCCTGATCTCCTCGCAAGTATGTTTGAGTCCAGAGTCAAAATGTTTTTATTAATTTTATTAAGTTCTTTGTCAGAAGTGCGATTATTTGCATTTGGTTTCCTTAAAGACGAAATAGGAGGAAGACAAATTTTCTAAATTTGGATATAATTCTAAATCTAAGAGAGGAGAATGTAGTTTATCAGTTATATACGAGCAAGCCATTGAAAGAGCAGAGCTAAGTGGCATTCGTTTGTCCTAAAACAAAGCACTTCTGAGGTAAATAATTCCAATAAAACGAAAAGAGAAGTGATAATTATATTCAGCAGTTCTGTATTCAGTATGCTTATATCATAAATTGTAAATTTTATGATATAAGCATTAATGGGCAGTCTTAAGAATTCATTGTACAAATAACCAAAAGCAAACAAAATGTAAAATTTTAGATAAAACACGCAAAATTTGTCATTGAAATCTATTTCAAAATATTAGCCGGAAAAATTAGAGAGTATTAAGATTGCACGCATGTATTGCAAAACATATACTGCGTCTAAGTTTTATATGGATACTTTTCTAACTATTTAAAAACAATTATCTCTGACAAAGAAATTACTAATAAAATACAGTGGGACTTGCAAAGTGTAGCTTTCCCAAGGGAAAATATTATGGCTGTATATTCGCTCTATGAAACCAAAAAATAAAAAACTCGACAAACATTTTTCTCTAGTTGTTGATTATTCAAATGAGGTTTGAAGCATAAATCTCTAACAGCTTTGCTTTGTTGCTGTGATGATTTGACACAATATGTAGATTAGTTTTTAAATTTAGTTTTCCTAGTTTTTAGATTTATTTATTTTTTTTTTTTTTTAGTCTAAAGGGGCTTTGTTCTTGAAGGACTATTGTTTTCGTTTTGCAATTTTGCGTCGAATCACTATCAACAACGTATCACTTTTCAAATTGTTGCCACCAAATGTTAGAGTCCTGCATTATATTTGAAGAAATTAAATAATGAAGAATCTGCATAAATGTATGTATGTTCCTCGCATTATGATAAAAGAACGGTACCTAGAGCCATCCAATTTTGAATGACGTAATCCTACTGCGAGTATGAGCATCTAAAAGCCCAAATTTGAAATTTGGAATTTGTTTTAAGATCGATTTCATATTTTGTAAAACTTTAACGAATTTTTGATTAACAAACTCGACTATTTAAAAGCGAGCAATGGCAACACTCTGCGGGGTAGACCTTTTTATCTCCAGCACGAGGAACTGTGTATCGGAAATTGTAAAGATATGCTCATTTTAAAATTATTTTGCGATACTGCTGTTGAACTGAATTTTGTGGTTTAAGTGCAAAGAATTTGATATTTAATAAATAAAGATCACACACAACGTTAAAAAACGCCCCTTTGGACGTAATATAAAATCTGAAACCTTTCAGATTTCCCCCCCTCACGGACCCAACTTTTTTTTTTGGGGGGGGGGAAGGAAGAATACAAAAATAAACTATGTTTTCATAGGAAAACGCATTGACTGAGAACTTTCCCCTATTATGCTTACGTATATGAAAAGAAAAAAATCTGATGTGTACACCACATGACTTCCTTGTACGGAACGGAATATTAAATTATACGATTTTTTCTTACAAAATAAAAATTTAAATAAAAATTTAAACTTATTTGATTGAATTAAACCTACTTCGCCGACAGCGCATAAACCACAATAGAATAAATGCATTCTTTAAAATTCACTTTGTTTACCATAGCGACACTCTGGCGCTAGGTTTATTTAACAGTATTATATTTCGTTCATATTATAACTCAGAATGCACAAAATTTATATCATTTAAAGAATTATCTAATCGTTGCCACATGTTCTATTCAAATACTATAATAAAGCTAGAACGATGTATAAAAGAAATTAAGCAAACAAAACAAAAAAAGAAACAGTCTTTCACAGACGATTGAGTATTTCAATTTTTGAAAGGCAAGAATACATAAAAACTCAAAATATCTGTATTAAAAATTACGAAGTAAATCTTAAACGCTTATTTCCTCGAAAAAATTCCAGAAAGGATTAAGCATGATTTAAATAATAAATGAAGGCGTTATCCTTGTTGTTGCGAAGCTAAGTTTCTCTAGAGTGGCAACAAATCCACTAGTCCGCTGTTTCAAATGTAAACAATGAATGGCTGCCATAAAAAAAGGCTTAGTGGCACTTAGACAACTTTAAAATTGTTGATAATTCTAAAAATATTGCATACAGATTTACTAAAGGCATAAAACTCTTAACGGGAAGATAAAAGCAACATAATTCAATCATTTTTAAAGCAAAAAATGTACAATTTACAAACATATAAGAGTAAAGAAACTGAGATCACTGAGCCGGGTAACATACGTTCGTACAGACGCCACGAAAAATACTCTTCAGAATTCATTTTAAAGCAGTTTTTTAGTTTTTTGGAGGAAAAGAGTCTTTTATTCTCTCCTTACGTACAGATATCACGCAAAAACATCGTTAAATTGCATTCGATAGCGGTCAAAATGGATATTTTCGTTGAAATATGCTGCCTGAAACTTTTCGCGATTACAATACTTCCTTTTTACTTCGTACAAGGAAGCAAAAAGATCGGAAGCCTGGGAATAGGCGTATTTATTAAATGCGCGTATCTGCGAAGAAAACTCGCCGGCATTTGGTGATGAGTTAATTCCCGATGGCCCAGAGAAATCAGCAATAATTTAATAGTAGAATTATTGTACGTATGTGGGAAAGAAATATTGATCTTAGTAAGCTAACTCAGGTAACATCTCATAGACGCATCACGTAAATAAATAGCAATTAGTTGAAGTCCCTTAGCGGAACAAATTGGAGACAAGTAGAAAGAAGGTAACCATTGCCTCATCAACCATGCAACTATCAAAGTACTTAAGCGAAATCAGAGAGCACTCTTCTCGGGAAAACCAGAGATTAACTCAGAACTAGGTAACGAAATTATCTCTAAGAAACCATGCCCTGCAAACTGGCCTTGAGACAATGTATGGCTTTAGTAAAAAATTTCCTACTGCACTTCTTTAGGTACTCAACTACTTAGTTCTATTAAATGATTGTGCAACAGCCTATTTCTGATGTAGTAATGCACCCCAATAATTGTCCTAAGGATCTTGTAAGAAAGCAGCACGTCTTAACTCCCGCTGTTTTTAACTGTGCTGAGCACAAGGAGTTCGTAAATGCTAAATGTTATATCCACGCCTTATCACATCTTTGCCATTTTATATGATCCGAAAGCTCCGGA